TTCAACAAGTTTTTAGGTATTTCCAAATATTTTTGGAAGTTTTCTATCATCTATTAACGTTTTGAAATAGTTTTCATGTTTCTAAATACATTTTTTTAACGATTCTAAATTTAAACAGTCTAACATTTTTTTTTTCTACACAATTGTTATTATACCTAAGCTTTTATTTATATATTTCGATAAATTTTCAATCATTTCAAATTTTGTCCAATATAAACCATATGTAGTTTAATTTAAAATTCCAAAAATTACTTTTAACATTTTTTTATAACTAGTTTAATTTATATTAACAAATTAAGCCAAAAATCGGAAAAAATGCCTTTTTTGCAAATTAAGAATTTTTTTGAAATTTAAAATTTTTTGAGATTTAAAAATGTTTAGAAAATTTGAAAGTTTTTTGAAAACTTGGAGAATTTTTACAAAATTTGGATGATGTTTAGAAAATTTGGAAAATGTTTAAAAAATTTGGCAAACTTTTGAAAACTTGGAATTTTCTTGAAAACTTGGAAATTTTTTGAAAACTTGGAAATTTTCTTGAAAACTTGGAAATTTTCTTGAAAACTTGGAAATTTTCTTGAAAACTTGGAATTTTCTTGAAAACTTGGAAATTTTTTGAAAACTTGGAAATATTTTGAAAATTGATTGAATTTAGAAGAACTTGAATTTCTTTGTAATTTTATTATTTTTAGGAAGTTTTAAAAATTTTTGAAAAAAAAGGGTTGATATTCGTACATTCCCATATTGTCTAAAATATTTGCATTTTGCCGAAATAGCTAGACCTGCCTTTGCCAAAAGCTAAGCAGCACATCTCTCTATTAATAGGAATCGAATGTTTTTTGAATCATTCAAATCGGTTGAACCGTGTTCCCAGAATGATAGTAGACAAGAATTTGTATCCGCACACAGATACACACACGCGTTTTTTCTAAGATGTATCAGAATGTTCAGAAAGCTTTGAAACGTAAAGATATATACAAATTTTTATTTTCGGTTTTTCGACGATTACTATAACTTACCCTACGAAAAGTAAATAATTAATTCAAAATGTTTAAATAAATTTATATTTTTCAAAAACGTCTAATTTTTCAAAAATCTAATAATTTCAAAAAATACTTTCTATGACCTTTTAAAAATAATTTATTAACTTAATAATAATCAAACATTACATGTTTGGCAGATGAAATTATATAGTTTAATTTAACAAACTATTTTTTAACTAATGCATGTCATATTTGGCATTACTTTACTAAATTATTAGAATTATAGGCAACATTATTGAAGCAATTATTTTAAATGCAAAAATCCAAGGTGATATTGTACTATATAATAATTCTTTCTGAATTCGTTATACTGTTTAAAAGAGTGCAATTTCCAATACGTATATATTATGCTATAAATCATAAAGGCAGGCGATAAATTTTTGTGTGATAAATTTGGGAAATCATCTAAAGTTTTAGTCATGGATAAATAAAAAATCATGTATTTATGCATCTACATCTACAGGTATGACTAAAAATATTGTCATAACCCTTGGCATTAAAATAAATTGAGGTAATGGAAATAAATTTGTTCAATAAATTGTAGTGTATAATTTTTAATATACAATTTTATTGAACATATTTCAATATTTGTTTGTTTGATGGATTTACGTGGCTCATTTGAATTTCACAGTATAATTATAAGAAATAAGTTTGGGTTAGGAGACTCATCATTTAAAGTTATTTAAAGCAGTTGTATATTTAAGATCGCCCAAATGGATGTATATACAATTCGGTATAGACTGTAGCGTAAAAAACATAATAATTTTTAACTAGTTGGTAAATATCAGTAAGGTAAAAGACCCAGTTATTGACCCTGGCCCAGTTTCTGACCTTTTCAACTTTTTTTGGAATTAATTAAAAAACTATACATTTAATATGAAAATAATTTTTTTCTTAATTGACAGTAATTTATTCTATGCCTCATTAATGTCAATTAAAAAAATATAAAAAATATTAACTAAATAAAAAAAATTTTTTAAACCAAAAGTGACTGTGGAAGCCATTTTTTAGCTTTAGTCTAAACAGTTTATGTAAGGAGCTACGACAATTGAGTTCGTGCACTAATTATGATGTAAGTACGAAAATCTAACTAAAAATATACAAATAAGCCAATAATTAATTAAAATTTATTTTAAAATATTTATAAAACATATTAAATTTAGTTTTATTACTGAAATTTGAGGGTCAATAACTAGGCTCAATTTAAGTGTATGTCACAGTTGTTGACCCTGCAATTCTAACCTTCTAAATGCTAGGTTATCTGTCACATGTTTTTAGTCACTTGTTCATTAAATGTAAAAATAATAATATTTATTGTTATCTTATATTTTTTTACTATTTTTCGTAGTAAAGTGATAAATTTACATTTAATATTCATTGGTATAAATGAAAGATTGTATTTAAATCTTGTAAATACATCTTTTAAGTGATAAAATTATTAATAAAAAAAATGTCAGTTTTATCAACGCTTAAATTATGACTGTTTTAGTTTACTAATATTCTTATTATTATACAATTATACAATTACAATTAATTAAATGTAAATTAGAAGAAGAAAAAGAATTGAAAAAAGCTAAAAGGTCCAAAAATAAAGCTATCAAGGAGGCAGAAAAAATAATTAAAAAAGGAAAACTTGAAGAAAAAAAGAAACAAAAAGCTCTTAAAATAAAAAAAGTCCAAGTAATTTAAATAATTAATTTTAATTTTTTTGTTTGTGTAATATGTTATAACAAGACTTGAACTATTTAAACGTTAAATTTTAACAAACTGTATATTTTTAGAATAAATATTTAATTTATTTATTCTAATAATATTTTCAGTTTATTTAAAATTAGTAAGCACTTCATAACCTAATCATGATTAAATTTGAGGGTCAGAAATTGGGCTACGGTCAGGGTCAGAAACTGCCACACGAAGAATTCTGAGGGTCAGAAACTGGAGCTCTTAATGTCAATTTTTAAAACGTCAATTTAAAATATAAATTTAGTTCAATAATTTTTTTATGCGCATTACTTTATTTTTAAAAATCCTAAACTAATAGAGAAAATTATAATTTTCTTCATTAAGTTAAGTTA